AAGAACCAAGCAGCAGGCTTTCACATGGGGAGAAGTGAAGGGCAAGTTATCTGTTGAACACATATAGTATTTAATGCTAGGAATTTTACACATGTCCTGAACAGAAAATTCCTATGAGATTTTACCTATATTTTCCAGATGAGTAGAACAAAATGCAGAGAGTAAGTGGCCAGTGTCACACCTTGCCAGTGAGGAACTGGAGAAAAAACAAAAAACAAACAAAAACCCTAGTGTAATCTCACCTTAAGGTCCATATTTTCAATGACTAGACTATGGTTCTCACTGAAATGGGCTTTTATTATCTTTTTTCACTCTCTTCATTCATTATTATTAAAAATGTACTTATTGAACACTTGCCAAGAACTAAGCACTCTGTTTGTGGCTGAAGAATAAACAGGATTAAATCACTGTCTCTATCTTTGATAGTCTAGAGAAGTGGGCACCTCCATAAATAAATATGCTACAACACAGGTGATCGAATCTGTAAGACATGTGCACAATGCTATGGATGCAAAAGAAATAAGGAGGGATCAGATCTGTCCCTAAGTGGAGGGTAGAGTGTGAATATGGTATTGACCTAGTCTTTGAAGAATATGTAGATATTTGTTCTGTAGAGAAGAATAAAGCTGTTCTAGTTACTGGGAGCATCTTGCTTTGTAAAATCACATAAGGACTTCCTGTTTTCATAGAATAAATGGAGGAGGTTATTATACAAGGACGAGGCCCAGGTTGCACTAGGGAATTCTCCTAAATCTGCATAGTTCATACACTCCCAATGCTTCTTAAATTATTCCCGAGTACAGAAAAGGAAAAGCCACAAGATATTTTTCTGAAACAAGAATTACATTGTCATCTAAACTTTATAAAGATAACACAAAAGATAAACTACAGATCAAATCACTTATAAATATGGAAGTAAACACCTAAACATAATATTAGCATATAGAATCCAAGAGCTCATCATGAAAAACAAAATACCATGACCAAGTGATATTTATTTTAAAAATGTAAGGATGGTTCAATATTAGGTAATCTACCGACAACATTATTTACCATGTTTGTAAGTCCTAGTAGAAAATCATATGATCATATGTATAGATGCTAAGTGGCCTTTGACAAAAATTGACAACCTTTTCTAATTAAAATATTGACTAAAATAGAATCTGATTATTTCTCCTTTATTGTTAATATATATCTATAACTATACACACACACACACACACACACACACACACACACACACACACTGTAGTCCTAAAGCCAATATATTACTTAATAGAGCATACTAGAAGCATTCACAGTACGGCCAAGAATAAGGTAAAAATAACCACTAACTTTGCAAGCAGAGTAGAATAAACAGTAGAGCCATAAGAGTTGGAATAGAAAAAGTGAAACTTTCTATTTACAGGTGATATTGTAGTGTATTTGAAAAATCCAAGAGAATCAATGAAAACACGAAAATTCAGTAAAGTAATAGAATATTAAATTAAAAACAAAAATCAGAAAGTTTTATATGCACAAATAATAGCTAATTAGATGATGTAACAGAATCTAGAACTTTGGTTACATTAGTAGCAAAAAAAATTATTTAAGAATAAACTTAAAAGAAAGTGTTAATAGCTATGCTAGAAAAAAAATAAAATACTTCTGAAAGGAAAAAAAGTAAATCTGAAAAAATTTGAAAAGTTTTTTTTGGTTAACATGGGTAAACATTATAAAGTTATCATTTATTTCCATCTTGATAATAAATTTAACATGATCCCAATAAAAATAACATACAGTTGTTTTATGGATCTATTCAAGTAAATTTTAAATTTTATATGTCAAAATAAACATAAAATAGCTAAAAGAACCCTCAAAAAGGACAGAGGAGTGGCTATATTAAAACTTATTATAAAACTTCTATAATAAAAACAGTGTGATATTGATTCATGGAAAGATAGAAAGACAGAGAGACCAATGGAAGATAATAGAAAGCTCACAAATAAACAAAAATGCATATGGAAATATAGTGATGACATCGTTAGAATGCTAGGTTGTGACAGAGAACAATGAAGTACAAAGAAAAGGATGGGGATATGTAAAATAAACACTGGAGGTATCTTATAGTTGCTAAGGTGAGTTAAGTTTGGAACAATTTTAGCATCAACAATTATGATACTAATGCATTTTAATGTATAGAAAATAAAAAAGACCATAGGTTATCCAAAGTAGATAAATAAGCAATAAATACAAGTTCAAAGGTAAGACGGAAACTCTCTTCATAGAAGTATAGATATATAGATATAGATATAGATATACATGAAAAAATAAAATGATAAAAATCACCATTTTACAACACTAATGTACATAATTGATTTATACAAGGTATGCGTATAAATGGATAGATATTAAAACTAAGGGGTAAAAAGTTTTTGGGGAACAAGATATCCACATAGTCTCAAGTTCCACCCCATAGATTACTTGTGAATTACAAAGGTTATGTAGTATAATTAAAATAGAGGGATCTGACAGATGTCACCTTTACCAAGTGATCAAACTGACTATCAGCAATAATGAGACAAAATGATATTATGTGTCTCCTCATACCAATGGGCAATATACAATGTTACCCATATAGAAGTCTTCCTTAAAGAATCTAATCACGAGGAAACCAGCAGACAAATTCAAAGTATGACACTAAAGACAGATGGCAACCAAACGTAACATGTGAAAATTTAGTTGATTCTCGAATTCTCAGATTTCTTAGGACAACTAAAGAAGTCAGCATATGGGCTCTACATAAATAATATTTTCTATCCATACAAAATTTCTTGTGTATGGTAATAGTTTTGTGGTTATATGTCAAATTAACATGTCCTACACCTTAAACTTACACAATTTTCTATGTCAACTATATATCAATAAAAATTGCAAAAAAAACCCCAAAAAACAACAACAATGGGTGTGTAATACTCTAGCCCAGTAGGGGGGGTGAAGAAGAGAACAGATATGTGAGCTAGTAAAGAAACAAAATTAACAAGTTGTGGCAGTTAAAGGAGAGAGGGAAATCGACTTTATCTCCCAATTGGACTAGATTGACAATAGGAGGAAGAGCAAGACCAAGTCAAAATGACAGAATGGTAACTGATAATCTAGCTCAGTGCTGCCCAATAGAAATATAATGCAAGCCACATATATAATTTCAAATTGTCTACTAGCCACATTCATAAAAATAAAAAAATGGGTGAAACTAGTTTTAATAACATATTTTAACCCAATATATCCAACATATTATACTACTTCAACATGTAATAAATATTAAAAATTATTAATGAGATATTTTATATTATTGTTTATACTACATGTCAGGAAGGCAGAGTGTATTTTACTTACAACATATCTCAATTTGGGCTAGATACTTTTTAAGTGCCCAATAGCCGTGTGTGGTTAACGGCTATCTTGTTAGATGGCACAGCTCTAACCATTGCCTTCCTTCCAGCCTCATACTCTTGACCCTGCCCCATATTTGATAGTCTATATTTACTATTTTTTTACACAGTGTTATATGTCAAATATATTTCAATAAAAATGATAAAATAAATTTTAAAAGAAAGAATGAGGATAGGAGGAGACTAAGGGTCATGAAAGACAGGACATTACAGGACAAAGCAGGGATAAGAATAATGGGTAGAGAGAGAAGAGAGTTGGTGGGCAAAGAGGAGTCTACAGGCAAAGAGTAGGAGGGGCTAAGGATGGTGCGGTGGGGAGGCTGTGGGATTCTGAAGGTGCCAGAACCCTGTAGTCCTGGTTTCCAAGGTCCTTCTTAGGCCCAACAGTCCAACCATTTTTAGATAGTTGAAAGAAGTAAGTTCTTGGTAAAGCTGCAAATTTGATCCATTTTGAGCCAGTTGGTCATGGAGTGCTCTGTACTCCCCATCTCTTCTTGCCTCTAGTAGAGGACTCCTTCTGTACCCAGGCCAATTAAAAGATTTGGTGAACTTGGTGAATTGGTAATCCAGAGAAAATGAATAATCCTGAAGCATTAAAGTGTTGGCTGAACAAGATGACTTTTAAATAGATTCAAAAGGGAAAAGAATAAACTGAAAAACTCCCATGTGACATGCTGACATTTTTATCATATTCACAAGAATATATTTTAAAAGATTAATAGTAAGGTTCAACACAGTTTCAATTGTTTATTGACTTTTTGAATGTTTATTTGTGTGAACTTCCTATTTATATACTTTGTCTATTTTCCATTGGTTTGTGTGTCTTTATTTGTATGCATTTATATGTTGTAAATATCAATCATTTGCCTGTGATACAGGTTGCAAATATTTTCTTCTATTACCTGGCATTTAAGTCTTTAATCCATTTCAAGTTTATTTTGGTGTTTGGTACAAGACTGGAATCTAATGGGGTTTTTCTATCTGGAAGTTAAAGAACTTTCACAGCACTGTTTGTTGAATAATCCCTGGGTCCCCAGTTACCTGCAATGCTCCCTTCCTAGGTCTCATATGTGGTAAGGTCCAATTTAGGATCATCTCTTGTGTTTTAACCAACTGTTCTGTGAATTCTTACACCAAGATTAATTAATGTTGTGTTATTGTATATTTTTGTTCACACTTTTCAAAATTTGTTAGCCATCCTCATATTTTTGCTATCATGACAGCTGAGATTTAGAATCATTTTGTCAAATAAAAAAATAAATATTGCGATTTAGGACGTATGTGGTAGTAAATGGAGGGTAAGTCATACAGATTAATATACCGCATTAATCCTTGGTGCAAATGTGCAATATGCCATCCTCTCCAGTCAGCGACACTTTCATTGTGCCCTTTGAAGTCCTTCCCACCCCAAGGTTTCTCCAAGCAAAGCAAGAGTAGCCAACACTCTCTAGCAGTCATTCATCATCTTCTGTTCGTCAGGCTTGTTGCCAGCAGCCGTGTGAAGAAGCCCAGGCTCTTGGAGCTCATGCCTGTCTTCTCTGCAGGTTGCTTTGCAGAACCTTCTTATATGTGTCATCCTCTTCTACACTGTACTGTGCAGTTCTGGGCATGGCCTGCAGGGTGCTCACGTAAGTAGCACGTTGCCTTCAAACAGAAATAAAAAGCTAAGGTTGAATATGACAGGAGTTAATACTTAATTGACATGTCTTTATGGAATAGAGGATGCAGATTTTTTAATTGCATATTTTATTAATTTTTTCAAGTAAAAATAAGCAAACATGTCATCTTTGAAAATGATAAAAGTATAAATTACGAAATGAAGCGCGTAGAGCCAGGCAGGATTGTTCCCTTTACCTCTGGAGGATGGTCATGGAAAGAAGGGGAAGCTTTCTCCCTGGGCTGGCACTGAATCAGAGGGCATTTAAGCTAGAAGGGAAGTTACAGAGAATCTACATCCATGCAATTTAAATATTTTGGGGGTATAAATACTGGAAATAGCTTTGGACTGCAAGTAAGGAGGTCTGCATTCTGGCCCAGGTTCTTACTATCTTTCTGGATCATCTTGACCAAGCCATAGAGCATCTCTTATTTCAGTTGTCTTCACTGTCAAGTGGAGGTCATAAGCCAAAAGAGGGTTATCATGAGGACAAAGTAATACATATACTTTTTAACAGCATTCTTTTTTTTTAATTAAAGTTTATTGGGGTGACAATTGTTAGTAAAGTTACATAGATTTCAGGTGTACAATTCTGTTAATACATCATCGATATATCACATTGTATGTTCACCACCCAGAGTCAGTTCTCCTTCCATCACCATATATTTGATCCCTTTTACACTCATTTATGATCCCCCTCCTCCTCTCCCCTGATAACCACTAAACTATTGTCTGTGTCTATGAGTTCTGTTTCTTCATTTGTTTGTCTTGCTCCTTTGTTGTTTTCAGTTTTATATCCCACGTATCAGTGAAATCATATGGTTCTCTTACTTTTTTCTGTCTGACTCATTTTGCTTAGCATAATAATCTCAAGGTCCATCCATGTTGTCACAAATGGTATTATTTCACCTTTTCTTATGGCAGAATAGTATTCCATTGTGTATATATACCACATCTTCATTATTCAGTCATCTATTGTAAGGACACTTGTTGTTTCCATGTCTTGGCCACTGTAAAAAAAGCTGCAATGAACACCAGAGCACATATATCTTTATGGATAAATGTTTTCAGATTTTTTGGGTAGATACCCAGGAGAGGGGTTGCTGGGTCATATAGTAATTCTATTCTTTATTTAAGTGTGAGGTATTTTTTTCAGGTAATTTGTCTTGCTGTGGTTGAATTTTGTCTTTACAAATTTATGTTGCCAATGCAAAGATTTCCTTGAAATATATTATGTATATTTACAAAAGTTTCCTAGAAACTGATTGTTTATACAATTTAATTTTATTGTGTAAGCAAAGAGTTAAGGCCTTTACAAGTTTAATCTGCAAATTAGTGCCCAAAATAATTATACTGACTTCTGCAATGAGAGGAATGCTATGAAGCTTGCTTGCAGGAAAACTCACTGAGGAAGCTTCTGGTGCTGACACACAGTCTTAGCTGTTGCTTGGGACCAGAGATGGTGAGGCTGTGCCTAGAGCAGGGAATGAATAGCTGAGACTCTACAGGGCTCACTGAACATGGGCTTTCAAGGGTTCTTAGTTAATGAGAGTCAGAGGCAAGGAATTCGAAGTAAGTGGCGTTAAAGCTCCAGGAGACAGCTAATTGAGGGATCAGCTGCACACAACTACCAAGTTGGGCACAGCAGAAGATGTTTACTTCATAGATTCAGATTTTAGAACAGGAAGAGATCTCAGAAATTAATCGTGCAATTTACAGATAAGAAACTAAAGCCCAGAGAGTTTCAGGGACTTGACTAAATTCTCAGTTAACAACACCTTCAAGATTAACACCCAGATCTTGCTTCCAAACCTATGCTCTTGCCATAGTGTTAGGTTCTCCTCCCACACTTGATGGGAGGGACTTCCAAGATTACAGCTGAGGTCTCTAATACAATGAGGTACACTTGGTCGACGAGGAGGACTAAATTAGACAAAGAAGACAATGTGGATAAAGAGGTTATTTGGCTGCCATCCATGTGAGTGAATTTTCAAATGTGCCACCAAATGAGTAGAGTTAATGATTCATCATTGTACTTGAAGAGCAATGTGCCAAAACTTGATGTGCAAATTGATGAGCTGGATACTCCCAAGTAAACTATTTTCATTTGTAACATCTTCAGGGTGTATGAGTTGGATGTCCTGGCGCCATTTGATTTCAAAACAAAGCCCTCATGGCTCAACACAAATTATAAAGGTAATTGATTTTAATTCTCAATCTTTGTCAGTTAGTGAACTAAATGCCTCCAAAAATCAAAATCGTTTTTGTTTTATAATATTTTTAAAAATACCAGGCCTTCTTCTTGGCCAACTGTATCTTATACTTGACTTCAAAAATTAATGTGAGAAAGTGCCATCCAACTTTTTAAAGTGGCTGTTCCTAAAAGATAAAACAGGATGGAATAAGTGAACAGTATTCTTATATAAATTTTTATTTAGTGGTAGTATGGGTCCATTTTTATGCATTAAATATTTTTCAAAAAAGGAGGAATGGCTTAATGTACTAGTGTAAAAATTGTTCGTGAGATGTGAAATGGAAAATGAAGAGTACAAAAGAGTTTGTATAAGTATTCATTATTATAGAATAGAGTAAAATCAATCGTGTCAATGGTAAGAAACCTGGAGAATTATGCAAAAAACTGTTATTCCCCAGCTGGGATGACAGAGGTCTTTCATTTTCCGATTTGCACATTTCTGCTTAGTTTGATATTTCTCTCCCAAAATAGTATAAAACTTGTTGCAAAGAAAAAATGATAAGAAAGAATATATTAAGAAAAAAATTTCCCTTTTAAATTTATAATTTTTGTTGAAGAATAACGATTAATACATATTATGTTCATAAGTCTTATGTATGTTAATAACACCAATTGCTATTAAATATATGTCACACATACTTGTTTTGGAGGGATTCATGGTGAGTTTGCCCCATCTTTAGAAAAATAAGATTTTAATGTCATTTTTTGTTATAAAATAATACAGGTAAATTAATGAAAGCTTATTAAATACCTATAAGTAGAAAAGAGGGGGAAAAAAAGAAAATCAATTCCAAACTCTCTTTCTAAATATCATTATTCTTATCATTTCTGTTAAATTTCTTCCTGCTTATTTTTAATAAATTGTGGATTCTTTAAACATTACAATTCTTTAGAAAACCACTGGATATCTTTTTTTGGAACATATATACAAACATACAAAAATGGCCTAAAGCTAAAGAAATCAGATATGAGTTGTATGGGAATCTCGGTCAGCTAGAACTACTGAATTCAAACAAAAACCTTCAGAACAACCTCCCCAAATGTGTAACCTTGTTTGGTGCCATTATTGACTCAATTTTGGATAGACAAAGAATATGGTAAGACTAGAGACTTTCATTCTAATGAGATACAAGAGGTCTAACATTCTATCTTAACTTTCCATGCACTTCCCCATTGAAGATCAAATTGCTTTATTTTCTACCAAGACTATCCACACATGATAAGGAAATAGTCACAGTAAAGAGTTAAGATTGGTGTGTGTGTGTGTGTGTGTGTGTGTGTGTGTGTGTGTGTGTGTGTGTNTTGGTGTGTGTGTGTGTGTGTGTGTGTGTGTGTGTGTGTGTGTGTGTGTTGGGTAGGGGGAGATGTTTCAAATTCAACTGTTATCATTTAATTCTTGCCTTTGGGTTAGCCAATGAAAGATAAGACAATGACACAGGTTTATTGCACAGGGCTGGGTTTTACATGGCAGAGAGTAGTAAAGATCCCCAGGATGCCTGGCACAGTTTACATCGTCCTTTCCTCTCACAAAATACTAACATTCATGCAAAGATATCAATGAGCCCTTAGTCTATTAGATATTTAATTGTGGGCTTGGGAAGATAAGTGCAGTAACTCTTCAAGGTTGTTACTTTGAGAATCTAGACTTGTTTAATCTTGGAGATAAAATGTGAGAGTAATCTTAGAGCCTTAGGCATGTATTTAAGGTCAGGTTTCTTGTCTTTTTAAGTAATTTTGTCTCCCAAATCCAGGTTAAGGAAGCACACTGAAAAGTGTGTGTCTTTCTTGGCATTGAAGAGAACAGATTGCAAATTGCATTCATTTTAAATTAAAATCTTCCCAACAATTTTTTTGAGGTAGATAAGATAAGTACTTCATTTCCCCGTTTATAGAGAAGTAAACAGACTGACCCAGAGGTTAAAATCCTGCTCAAGGTCTTATAACTCTGAAGCTATAAGGCAAGACTAGAACACTGATATCCTGACTTCAAATTTTGTGCTACTTCTTTTAAATCATGCTTTTCTCAGATCATAAACAAAGCATAAGACTTCTCTATCAATATATGCAAATGCAGTTTGTTCAAGACTAAAATCACTATTTCTGAGCAGCTGCAAGTTAACCTATAAAATGTGTAAATGCTGATAAAAAAAAAGCCATCTCTATTTCTCTGTAATAATGTGAGCCCCACATGTTCACTGATGGAGGTATGAGTGGAAATGAGGTGGGAAGAGTGGTTTCAATGATACAGCTGTACAGTTGCTTCTACAGCCTTGATTTTAGGGGGCAGGGCATGGTGAAATGAACCATATTCCCCTACTATAGAAAAAGAGCTGGTACGAATTGTCCATTCAACTTTTGAAACCTTTTGAGTTCAATTAAATAGAACTAAGGAGGAATAAGTGTGAAGCCTTTTAAAAAGATGGCACCTGGGACTTGCTTATCTGGTGAGTGTCTTGCTCACCAATCACTCGCTGGTTTGCTGGTTAATAAATCACTTCTGCATAATAGGACCTAATGTGATTATTTTACATTTTTGCTTTAAAAAAATATATGGAGCTTGCCTGTACAAATGTATCAATTCCTGAATTATATGAACATACCAGTCATTTGATGTGTTTTAAAAGGAAAGAAAGGTAACTTTTATGAAAGTGATATCATTACAAAGGGGCCTTGGTGGTCTATTGTCACTTTAAAGTTTGATGGATCTCTTCTTTGAAATCACTATAGTCTTAAATAGCCACATTAAAGGCAAAATCAAAAGGTTGACCCTTCACAAGTTCATGGCTCTTAGAGATGTGTGGTCCTGACCTGTATGTGGTCCTGGCTCCTTATCCATGTTCAGGGAAACCGCTTTGACAACTGATGGATTTAGAAGAGTGTCTCCATCCGTATGAGTCACTTATGAGACTTACTTTCATCCATTTTACCGGTTATGTTTCCCAGATGACAATGGTATGTTCCCAGAGCGTGTCATTTCATTACAAAGACACTAAATAACTTATTTCCAAGTTAAGCAATGATTGGTACTAAAGAAATGTTTATAAGTTCAGTAAACTTTTACATTTTTTGTTTATTTCTAAAAACTCAGAACTGAATTTTTCATTAGTTTTTAATACATCTTAAAAGTGAGATTTGCAATCCAATTACAGATCAGCATGTGTTGGTTATGTTGTAACATTTCTTTATTGTATTTTACCTTCTAAAATGGTAAGTATAAAGAATATGAAACGGAAATTATATGTTGTTATTCTTCTATAAGTCTGAGTATTAATAAGAGATGGAATAGTTTAAAAGTTCTTATCCAAATTTGAGGATTGCTAAGAGAAGAAACATTTAAACAATCTTACCAAAATTGTTTTGCAGAATAAGTTGTCATGGTCCTGTTACTAGCTGTACTTCAGAATTATTAGTTACTCTAATCCCCCAAAATTATATTCTTCCTTTTATTTGCAGTTCTTTTAGTCTCCATGGAGGTCACCTACTTTGTTTGTGGATTAGTTTTTATTCTGGTTGTAGAAGAATGGGTTTGGGATTATGCTATTTCAGTAATTATTCTTCATGTTGCCATCACCTCAACTGGTAAGCAAAATATAATAATGGAAACAAAATGTATTAAATCTAATGTTGTACACAAATCACTTTGTAAGAGTACAATTTTGTTGTATGCATATTGGTCTTTGATGGCTAAATAAAAACTGGTGAAAGTTCTTTACCCCTTCCCCTCACTCATCCTTCCTCATCAGGTTCTTTTACCACTTCCTCAGCAAGGTATTGCTTACCTGTATCTTCCAATTCAAAACTGTACTGAAATATAAGTGTTTGCTATTCTCCTTTCACATTCAATTTTCATCAACTTGGACAGGGTTTGCCTGTGTCAGGAATACTTTTTCCACAAAATCCTTCCTTGAGGTAGAAATTGACCAAAGATTGGGAAATAAAACCCAAGGAAACCTGTATTGGCAGGCTTGCTAACGTCCCAACACCAGTTAGTTACTGTAACAAGATTACTGGTTTCTTAGACGAGGGTTTTTATTTCTACCTGTGATCTTGGGAATCAGAAGAAAATAGATTCAAATTCTAGACCCCTTTTTTTTTACCAGATGTGTCATCTTAGGCAAGTCAAAACATTGTTTACATGACTTGCTTCCTCTACAAAATGGGGATACCTAATGAAGTTTCAGTGAGAATCAGAAATTTTTTGACAGTGTCTAGCATATAATTTCTGAGTAAATGACAGTTTCATCCATTTCTTTAAAATTTACTCTTCATTGTAACTTTTTATCCCTTGTCTTTTATTACTTTAAAAAAAGCATACTAGTCAAAGTATGGGTGGTAATCAACCACAAATTATAATTCAAAGTTATTAGTATTTATTAACTATTTAAATCACTCATACTTTCAGCACCCTGGTCTATTGATGGTATAATCAATCTTCAACTTAAGAACACACAATTTCCAATTAAATCACTACATCCCAGCATCACTGCTATTAGACAATGCCAGTATATCAGTCTCCTAGCATCCATTTCCTGAGACACAAACATTTTTAATAACTTCGAGAACCACTGAACCCCCACCATCTCAAATTCGCTATTTTACTTTGGGGCTTCAGTTTTCCTGGAAGACAGTCATAGCATATTCACAAAAGCCTTGGGGCATAAATTGGCTCAGTCTTCAAGGTTGAGATAGACAACAGGTCCTGGACAAATTACAAGTTAATTGTCTAATGCATGACACATAGAAAATGCTGAACAAATATTGTTCCATAGAATTGAGTTCAGAGTGAAGTGGCTCAGAAGTCCAGATAGAGACAGGCATTAAGGATTCAGGATGGTCTTAGGACCACTTTGGCTGCATATCACTTCAAACCAAAGTTGCGAGCTGCCCTGAAAACCTGAAAATTTATAACATCATTTCTAGGAAAGAAGTTTCAAATATCTGACTTAACAAATGACCTTTTCAGACTATGACTTAAGTACAAATTTGGGGGTACCTGGTTTCATGAATGTGAATGAAATTTCCCTGTTGTATGTGGATATGATTTGACCAAACAGGAGTATTTATTTCTTCATGAGTTAAAAAAAAAATCTGTGTTTTTGAAAATGAACACCTTTTTCTCTATTGCAGTTATGCTGGAATTCCCCTTGACATCACATTGGTGGGCTGCTTTATATATATATATATATATACATGTATATATGATACCTATATGTATTATACACACATGTGGATAACATAAATATATAAATATATATTTATAGATAAACCAGGGGCATAACACCTTTTATTTAGGTGGATCAGGTAATTGGACCAGAAGACTGCTCAAGGGCTTTAAAATTACCGGGAATAATACACTGGATATATATTTGTGACATATTCTTTTGGTTCTCTTTCCCCATGAATGGCATTACTGTCTTTATATAGTAGCACAAGTAGAAGATAAACTATTTCATTTCACTTCAATTTTTCTGCCTACGAATTGAATAGCTGAATTCATCAGTCATATATCTAGTAAGAAACTTAACCAAGTGCAAGTGGACTTTTTCTTTACATTAAACCAGATTTTTGACCCCAAAATATTTTTAGGCTTCCTCTTTTCAGTGAATTTGATAATAATTTTAATCTAATTATGGTCATTATTAGTGATGAGAAATGGAAATGGAGAACGTTACCACATTCTTTTCCCTCAAGTCTACCTATCTGTTTATTACACAAACAAATGGCAGGTCTCAAGAGCTCAAAGAAGAATGGAGAATTATGCATTCCTTGGCATGTGCTTTGGCTTCATTGCCTTTGAATTTCAGAGTATTAAGAGCTCCTCACCATTAATTTGATGGAACCATGCACCTATTGTTCCCTGAAGGAAGTTCTGAATTTCAACAATTTGCCAGCACAGAATATATACCTCCTCTCTCTCAGCTGAATCCATAAACTACTCTATTTCAAATGCGATGTCAGTTTCAGAGACATTATCTTAGTCATGACAATTGTTCTTATTCATAATCTCAGCAATGAATTATTCATTATTGGTAGTTAACCAAAACTTCCCTTTCATTACTTGCAGGATCCAGCTTAATTTCAATGCTTTGCAGAGGCCAGACTTTAGCATACTGTTTGTTCAAAGACAACTTTATCTATCCAGATCTGGATGATTATGAACAGAATGATTGAATTAATTTACCTCCGACTTCCTATATTATTATATACATGGTATCACAGCTAAATTGTATTTTTTGTTCATACCTATATTCAAGGTTTAATTGATTCAGGGATACTTTCTAACTATAAAAAGAAAAATGAGGAAAGTTAATGGCGAGCAGGAGAATCCTACTAAAGAATTCATGAGCAAAGTGTTGTAGACCCAGAAAATGCCGTGTTTCCCAAAGCATATTCCGTAGAACATCAGTTCTGAAGGATGTTAATAGTGCCATGCAATGAAAATCGAAGTTGCATATTTAAGCATATTTGTGGAATCCTGGGTGAAAGTAAAATAGACTTATTTATTTCAGGATTTCCTAAAATCTTTAATCATACGTATGAACAAGGCATCTCTAAACAGCAGTATACCTTGTACACTGTTTCTCAAACACATTCGACCAGGGGCACACTTCAGAAAATGCTGATGTATCATGGGGAAAGTATAACACAGAAGAGGGCAGATTTAAAATCAGGTTTAGATTCTATTATTCTCCCATAATATTTGTTTCTGTGTTAGAGAATGTCTTATGAAATTATTGCCTTTTTAAAAATATTAGAATCTATTTCTTTCCTTAGGCTGTGGTCTTCTAACACAGTGCATCTCAAAATTTAATGTGCACTTGAATCACCTGGGGATCTTGCTGCAATGCAGGTTTTGGTTTAGAAGAGCTCGGTGGAGCACGGACGTCTATATTTCTACAATTCCTGGAAAATGCCTGTGTTGTCGGTCCATGTGCCACACTTCAAGTAGCAGCATCTCAGTGGTTGGGGCCATATGTGTTTTAGGTTGTATAACTCCATACTGCCAGTTTTATGTTTTATATATCATTGTTATTCAATAAATGCTTGTTGAATTGGATTAAAACAGGTGACTTAAATTTATATAACTGTCTTAAATTAAATCTTTTTAAAAATTAAAATACTTTTTTTTTTTTTTTTAAGTGAGCCATTCTGCCACCTGTTGGCAGCTCAATGGCAGCTCAGCTCGGGCGGGGACTTGAATCGCAGTTGCTCAGAGCTCAAACTCTTGAGTGAGCTCTTAACCAACTGAGCCACTTGGCCAGCCCTAAAGCTAAAATATCTCCTGATATAAAAGAAGAGAATACCATGGTTACACTAAAATATAAGCATAGGAAAAAGGACAGGAAAGTAGCACACACATCCCCTGCATGCTCTATACACTAATGTGCTGGGAAACAATTAGAAAATAAACAAAACCATCTTTAGAATTTTTTCCTAGATGACTCTTTTTACCCTAAAAATTTATTTCTTCCATATAGATATGCATTCAACCACTCAGAAATGTCATGCTAATTGTATGTCATCCAGGTGACCTTCTAAAAACTACTTTGTGGTGATCAGTTACTGGCTAGATAATTTAAGCTTCTCACGTATACATAATTATGAAAATAATGGCATCGTCTCTCTTGCTTCTTTCTCACATTGACTTATTCACACAAACCTTTGTCTTCCACCCATTATTTTCATTCTTCCTGTCAATTTCCTCCAAATGTTTGGTCATAGAAGTTTCAAAATATGTAACTCATCTAAATCAGTCAAAGTATTGTAAATTCCAATTAATAATATATTTTTTTTCATCTTTAAAGGAAGGCAGAATAGGGTAACTATGAAAGGGTCAGCGTTATGATCTTTCATTTCCCAATTAACACCCATTGGCAGCACTCAGAAAAAGCATCAGTGATAAAACAAAACTCGATCCTGCTCTATGAAAAATGTAAATATTGAACAAATCATGAATACACTGATGAGAAAGTCTGTCCCTATAGAAACTCACACACATAGAAGAAATTTACAGAAAAAATAAACTGCCTAAATAAATTTGACAATTAAAAAAAGCTGGTTGATTAAATACTTTTTTAATATAATGAGAATTAAGTTACACTAGTAAATTAGAATAACAATCTCTCCAGACTCAGAAAACCTTAATGCCTTGTCATTTGTGGTGTAGCTTAATTAGCATGTTTATTTCCAGGATTAGGAATCCATCTGCTCAGGTAATTACTATTGTGTTAATCCTTCTCTTTATTTTTTCTGCTGATCACAAGAATAACTTGTGGTTTTCTTCTTTTACTCATTAAAATGATTATTATTACCTACTTGAAGATGCCACTTGACAAAAATTAAAAATACAATTAAAAATATATATTTGCTTTAAAAATAGTGTGGATCAGACATGAACTATTATTCATTTTTGTTTTTAGTGCCTTAAACTATATATAAACTCACAGTCCAAGAGCCATGCCCATTTAATTTACTTTTCTAGTGTCTCACACAAATCATAAATTGGTAAAATCCTATGTGGTATTTTGATGCATATTTTTTAGGCAGGGCTGATACTATTTTCATATTTTTTAGAAAAGATAATACTTTTATGCTATGCATAACTTTTTCATAAATTTTCTTTAAAGTTATATCATTATCATTTTATAATGTAAACCAACTTACATATTCCTTTAATAATGTTTACTTAAAATAATTATTTTCCAAATGAATGAACAGTATCATAGTATCTTTGTATCCTTACTTCTACTGACAATGAACAATGATCAGTTCATTGGATTAGTTTTATATCTGTAGTCTAAATATTAGGCTCTTATCTAAAATTTTGTGGGTTTTGTTCAACTAATTCTCTTAGTAACTGAACTGATAAATTCAAAAGCTGTTTGGTACCACTCTAAAGCTGTAGAGATTATCATATACAAGTGACAACATATGACTATATACTGTGAGATAGAAAATTCTATGACAAACATCCTAAGGAAAAACAGAGGCACTTCCTAAATTTATTGTTCCATAAACTTTAGAAACCTGAATTGCTAGGCAAACAAATCTATAGCAAAAGCATCCATAGATAGGGCTGTGGTAAAAATCTCAGAAAAGAGAGGAAATACAATTTGGTTCAGATGGAGGAAATATAATTTTTCAAAAGAAAATTTCTACTACAAAGAAAGGCCTCATAAAAGATGGAAAAATGTGTGACTATTTCACAATTGTAATTGAGGAAAATAAAGTTACAATTTTTCCAAGTGTTATGCCTTATTTATCTTAGCTGTTTCTTCTAGATTTTCCTGTATTCCATCTAAATGTTCCTGGTAGTTCAATAACAAGGGGGCCAAATCATCTTAAAAACAAGAATTAATTATTATCTGACTTCCTTTTGGGTGAAGAATATTCCCCCTCCCCCTTTTGCTCAATATTTCAAACAGGAAGGCCACTTGCCACTATATGGCTTAAGGAGTAATGGATATTCCCACAAGATCTTCCTTTAATTGCTAAGGGTAAAATATTATTACAGTAGAGAAAATTGGCAGATACAACCTTAGACAAATGATCAAAGTTAACATTGTTAGTACTGGGACAAAGCAATAGCATGTCACTCCTATATGATGCATTGGGAAGAACCCAGCATTGTTTCTGTGGCATTCCTGCCAAAAGTGAATAGTCTGAATCTAAGCTCAAGAATACATGAAATAAACCCAAAGTTAGGGACATCCTACAAAATAATTGGGGTGTACTTTTCCAAAATGCCAATATCGTAGAATTCAGAGAAAGATTCAGAAATTTTTTCAGATTAAAGAAAATTTAAAAGGCACAATCTGGGAATTTTTTTTTTTTTTTTTGCTTATGAAGAACATTATTGGGACAATTGACAAAATCTCAATAAATTAGATAATTGTATTGCTTCAAATCACTATTAAAGAATTCCTTGTTTTTAGAAAATATTCACTAAAATATTTAGGGGAAAGAGGGCATTGTATCTACAATTTATCCTTAAGTGGTTCAGAAAAAAAAATTGATATGTATGGTATATGCTTACACAACCACACACACACAGAGAATCAAAAAAGGGTAAAACAGCTATAGAAAGTGATAACATTTTGGGAATCTAGATGAAGGGTACACGAAGGGAATGCTTTGTACTATTCTTACAATGGCTGGCAGGTGG